CAGCTGCGCACACACACAGGGTCAGAGGTCAAGTCTAGGAGAATCCCGCAAGTGTGTGCGCATGCATGTGTGTGTGTCAGTGAATGTGCATGTGAACCTGTGTGTGTGCATTTGTCAATCTGTGTGAGGCAGAGTGTGAGTGTGAGTGTGTGCGCGTTACATACGTCGGTGTGTTTGGTCATGGGGTTGAGCTTCAGGAACAGTGGACTCTCGATGATTTCACACACCTACAACACACACACACACACACACACACACACACTTCAGTCTGAATGCACACACCAATGGGAGGCGCTTCCTGCTATGCTCCACCCACCTGTTTATGAATGTGGATATCTGATTGGTCTGGAGAGCCGCCGGTCGTGTACCAGCCCAGAAACTCCATTTCCTTAAAAACCTGCTTGACTGACACACACACACACACACACACACACACACACAGATTACTATTTGATGTTTAAGCTTGTCTATAATCTACAGGATAAATGAAGCTTTCAGTAATTGTGTGTGTGTGTGTGTGATCCTCACACTGCTCCTCTTTAGTGTAGTAGTACTCTTTGTCGATGTGAATCTGATCCTCCACGGTGTGAAACAGAAGCTCAAAGGAATTCATCACCTCGATGTTTCTGCCCTCCTGCTTACCAATCAGAGCTCCGACAACTGCAACACACACACACACACACACACACACACACACACACACACACACACACACACACACACACACAATCACTAACACAACTGAAACACACTCACTCACATTTTCTCTCTCTCTCTCACACACACACACACACACACACACACACACACACACACACACACACACACACACTCACCCTGCACGGCTCGTCCCTCCTGCGAGCGAATTCAGATCCAGTGGTCTGAGATGTTGAGGATCACCAGCGGATGCAGAGCCACTGAAACACTGCCGGTCACACCAGACGCCATCACACTGGGGCTCGCTGGAGCACACACACACACACACACACACACACACACACACACACACACACACACACACACTGATAAAGCTCGACTGTACTCTCAGCTCATTGTTTTACTGAGTTTCTGCTTGCTAATACACACTCATATAATTAAATTGAAAACATAAACAACAAAACCCACAGAACAGCTGACACCTGAACAGAAGAGTGGAGAATATTACACAATCATCAATAAACTGATCAATACATCGGCAGTCACGGCTCATTTATGCGGATTAATGATTATTGAAAGCTGAAAACAATAATAATACAGCAGAGGGCTCTTCAGACGACACACACAGGCCTGACACTCATCAACAACACCTTTAATCGTCATTATTGATCACTGCTCAACTGAAGCTCGACACGAGTGTTTATATCCTCAACACAAACAGCAGCGCCGCTGAGCCAATCACAGCGCAGACTTCGCCCGAGAGGCGGGACATTCGAGCCCTGCTGACTAATCACAGGCGAGCCCTTAACCCGCGGCAGTCAGTGAGGAGCAGCGTGCGTGTGTCGGATTCAAGATTACAGTTATGATTGAGATTATCGTTAATAAAGTCAAACTGTGATTAATGAAGAGCGCTGAGCGAGATTTCCTCACCTGTCGCGTCCACTTCCATTCCGCCGCCGTTACTCGCCGCCATGTTGGCCGTCAGATCTCCGCGCACGCGCAGTCCGGCGAGTGTTGGTGGCTGTGGCTCTTTAGCGCCGCCGCAGGTCGGAGTCTGAAACTGCAGATCAACGCCTCTCTCACACTCACACTCACACACACACACAGTACAGCAGCAGTGCATACACGCCTAATTATTAATAACTGTGCGAGTGCAAACTGAGTGAAACTGATTCCCAGCATGTGTGTGTGTGTGTGTGTGTGTGTGTGTGTGATTATAGACATGCTCAGTGTTGTCGTTTATTGAAGGAGAGCAGTCGTGC